AAACTTTTTTGCATGGGTTAAAAGCTCAATTAAGATATCATTGTAAAAGCTTGATTATATATTTGGTTTAACTTTTGTTTTCAATTATATTTCTTCTTTGTTTTATGTACTACTCCATTTCTTCATTGTTTCTTATACTATTAAATGTATAATACATATGTATAATAATACTTTATGGCTATAAGAAAATTACTTTATTGATGTGATTCAAAAATATTGATTTCCGACCATCGCACCATAAGGAAATCAAGTTAAAGAAACCATCTTCATTCTTTTACTTTAGATGTTTGTTTCTTTCTCACATATTCATGTATATTTATTTTATTTTCAAAGTATGTAATTATTTTAACAAATTAAATTTTGTTATATAATTATCAAACCAATTTGTAAGACATTAAAATAAATAAAATTTTATACAGAAACAAAGGTAATTTGTGTGTATATTTATAAGCTTACACACATATTTGGATAAATTTCAATATTTTTAGTGGTTTTTTGATAAAATTTGAAAAGGGGGTAAATTTAAAAGGGGGTATTTGAAAAGGGTATTTTTTAAATTCTCCCAATATCATTTCTATTTTTATCATTAAAAATATTATTGTTTTATAAAAAAAATACTCAAAAGTACTGAAGAAAATTACTATCAAAATTAAACAATTAATCAACAAATAAATTCAAGAGATATGGATGTATACTTCTATTGTATGATTTAAACAAATAAAGTGTAAAAATTTCATAAGCACTGAAATTTATTTATTCTTTTTTATAAGTGCGGGACATTGCCTAGTTAATAACATGGAAAAAGTCAAAGTTTTATCTGCTTAATAACAATCATGTGAAAACTCATGAAGAAAATAATTAAACAGAGCATAATTGGCTCACTCTCGTGAATCCTAAATAACCCTATTGCTTTATATAACGAGAGAGCATAGATTATAAACCTATAAAACCTAATAACACAAACTCAAAAACTGATCTCAAAGGTATATAAGAGAAACTCCCAATATACAACGTGAGAGGCAGAGGTTTTGCACGAATGATTTATCGTTTAATTGAAAATTATAGGTTTCATACGTGATGAACAAATAAAAACTAAAAAAAAAAAATTAGATACATGTAGCATGAATTAAAATGTCATTTTTGGCAGTAATACAAGAACTTCTGTTTAAATTATAAATTCCATATGTGAAATACTATCATATGTGAAAATACCGTCATATGTGAAAGTACTGTCATATGTGAAAGTATTGTATGTTCTTGGAGAATACATGTGTATGAAATCAAACATATCGGATATCAAATTCGACGATTATGATCATACTAAAAAAAGTAAAAAAAAAAAAAATACACAATATAAACCGCAACTACTTTTGGGGGTCATAAACATCACATAAACTTTTGGCCTTATAGCCATTTAGTCAATATTTCAATTATAGATTTCATAACTGCATTCATATGTTCGTTACAACATCACATTAAATATTAAATAATCACAGGCCTAATTGGTATGGAACTCCAGTGGAGTTGATTCAAAAATTTCCTTTAAGGAGTTATTCGATGGTAAAACTCGCAGCTTCATTAGGATCTCTAATTATTTTATATCCCTTACAGCTCACCTTTTTACTTGTATCAACTTCTGGGCATGTATTTATGTATTCAACATAATACAAACTTGAAAGGTTACAAGATCGGTTGTATTCCATGGAAGCCAGCTAGTTGGATCGATAAAATCGTCAATGAATAACTTCATGAATATCCCTTTCATCTTTCATAAAAACTCAATACATAGATATATTTAACTTTTGTTATAAAAAAACATATATTTAACTTATGTTTTGCTTAAATTCCGCACTTATTTTGCTCTTTATTATTTACTTTTTATATTAAAAATAATAAGATGTTAGGCACCCTTATTAGATATAAACAATATTGCAAGATTATGTAAGTTACCTCATCGAGCGAGAAGATTAAATTTTTGTTGGAGCTATTTAGAGAAAAAGAAAGTTTAGAGCTAGGTCCCAGTAATAATCGTCATTATTGAAGACTTTAAGGTTTTACTAATTCTCTCTTTCGAAAGTGAAAATCAATTAAGTAAAATGCTAGGATTGAAAAAGACGAGTTGTTTGACTATCTAAGTGGTGGCCTTTATAGTGAGATAACAATATTCTTAGGGGGGGGAAAATAACATTTTTTCAATGGATGTTGTTAATCTCTTTTATAATTATAACAAGTGCATGCATGGAAAAAATATTTTATGACATTCTTTTTTTAATGATCATGAAGATGCGCTTTGTTCGTTACTTTTGTTTAACAGAACGTCTTCAAATAAACCACGCAATATTAATGCGACGACAACAAAATTTAGGAGGAGATAATGGATTAAGGAATTCAAATCTTTTGAATCCTTATGTTCAATAAAAATTAGGACTCATAATTGTATAGCGAGTGTTTTCTCTTTTTTGTCCTTTTATAGGTTTAGAATTGAAATTTGAAACTTTTAAGAACTGAGTTGTCAAATGGCAGATGGAGAGTGAGATTAGAGAAAAAAAGCAATCAATGTCTAAATTGGTTTCAGCTACAAGTATGAACATTCATCTATTATCTTATGAAATCAAATTCACTAGCTTTTTGTTTCGTTCGATTTCTGAAGTCTCTATATTCCATGATTATTTTTTTCCAAATTAGTTACGATAAAATTTAGTTTTTTATTTAAAAACTTATGTTTTAAAGTTAAGCATTATGAATGTATTGATCTAATATAGTTATTAAAATTATTGTTTTAATAGAAAATCTTAGAAAATATATTAATACTAGTTCAGTACCCGTCCGATGGTTGGGTTATATTTGTTCAAAATAAAATTAAAATTAAAAATTTATTATAACTATCCAAAGATTTCTGTAAAAAGATAAGCGAAAACTTTTAATTTGGAAAGAGATTCTTTTTGGTCTAAAAAACCCTAATATACGTATATATATACATTTAAGATTTGTTATTAAACATTAATTATAAAAATCTTGTAATATTAAATGGTCAATCACCAAAACATTTGCGAACTATTCACCATTATTCATAATATTACTAAAATATTAAAATAACTTAATTTAGCAATTATCCCATAAAAAATGATTATACCATTTTACAAGAAAATTTATTTCTTAACTTTCAGTTTTAAAAAAAAAAATATCATTCCCAGGCTCTGCAGTATACTGTATTTTATTAAAATTAATTAATTATTTTTGATGTTAAAGTTCTTTCAATTTATTATCAATTTAAAATATGATATTAAATACAAATTTGTAAAGAAGTTTATACTATATTTGTAAAGAAGTTTATATAAAAAAGCTAATAAACTTAAAACATTAAAAAAAACAATTATAGCATCATTGAGAAAAACTTTAAGAAAATTTTCAAATACGAATTATAAAAAATTACATCTTTGAAAAATATTATTTTTAAAAATCATTCTATTATGAGTTATATTGAACTTTAGTTATATTTAATTTAAGCTAAAAAAATTATTTTTGAAACTCTTTCATCCACCCTCATGTTTTAGTCATTGAAATTGCTTGATGATTTATTACATTTACACATAAATTTAAATTAAACAAATATAACATATTATAAAATCAATCATTAACAAAAATATATATTTAGTTAAACTCATAATCTCATTTAGTTGTAAAATGTAAATCCTAATTTTCCCTTATAAAACCAAACTGATAAATAATCTTGTATAATTTGTAAAATATAATTCCTACTTATAAACCCAAATCGACATATAATCTTATATATTTATAAAATATAAAATATAAAATATAATGATCATTTATAAACTCAAACCAACATATAACCCATATAATTGTAAAACCTATGTCTCAATCTTCCTTTATAAACAAAAACTAACATATAATCTTGGTAATTCGTAAATCCTAATATCATTGATAAATCCCAATCGACATAACCAAAAACTAGGTTACTAGTTTAATTTTTTAATCAAAACGTTTGATAAAATTATTTTATATTTTTTCTTTTTCAATGTGGTTTCTAAAAATTATTTTATCTTAATATTAACAAAACTAAATATAGCATGTGGCAACATCTTATGTTTTACCTGACACTTACCATGATCACGTGAGTTTGTAACTTTCAAAAATCAAGCTTCAACATATATATAATCTCGTTTAGTTGTTAAACCTAAACCATAATTCTCATTTATAAAGCTAAACTATAATTTTTATTTATAAACCAAAACCAACATATAACATGTTTTAATTGTAAAATTAAAATCTAGACCTTAACAGTTAAAATCTAAACCTTAATCCTTCTCAGTTTATGAAACCGACATATAGTCTCGTTTAATTGTAAATTTTAAATCAATATCTTCTTAATAAATCAAATTTACATAACTATAATTAGGTATATATTTTTTTTTTTTCATAATTTTTTTAATATATAATTGTTTATAATACTTATTTTATATTTTTTTGTATGATTAAGAATATTTCTAATTTTATCTAAACATTAACAAAACTAGAATCGACACGTGTCAACATCCTATCGTTTATACATGTCACGATCTTGGCTAACTTCGAAAACCAAACTTTATATAATAAGATAATATAAATAATAATAAAAATGTATGAGATATGAAATATCTCGGACCGGATATTATGTTTAAAATTATTTTACTCTCCGAATTTGTATATGTATTCGTCTGGATCTGGTTTTCACTATTTGAATTCTTATCTCCACCAAAAATACTATTTTTCGGAATGGATCGAAATAGATCTCGGATAGTTGGTCTTAGAGCTAAAATTTACAGCTTATATATAATCGTAAATCTTAGCTCTAAGATACTCTTGATAACGGTGGGCTAATAGTATTCTGCTGTATCTCTAGTATTCAGATTTAATCTCCTATGTTCCATGTCGAGACATGATCTAATATTTTAATCAATTAGTCCCATTTAATTTGTTCCGACGGATCAAATCAGTCTATATGTCCGAATTGAACATTTTTTTCGAACCATTCAAATTACACAAACACCTTACAGAAGTAGAAACTTGACTAAAACTTGCCTAACAAAGTTATGCATTACAAAGAGTTTTATAGTATTTTCAAGAGTTTACACACTAACCTGCTTATCAAAGATCCAACTAAAGCTAACCTCATGGCTCTTCTTAACCTTCTTAGCTCTCTCATCAGCACGCTCTTGTAGCCTTCTAATCCTCTGAGCTAAACCACACACAAACTCCTGTGCACGTTGACCCTCAGCCGTCAATCCTTCTAACTTCTCCAATCTCCACCGTCCAACCAAAAACTCCAAGATGTCAGCATAATCATCGGCCGTATAAACGCCTAGCCGTTGAGCCACGGCCGAGAAATGTTCGAAGAGCATCGGGTCTCGGCCGTCTGTCATTAGATGAGCCGGCATTGTGATCTTCTTCCGCATCATGTCGGCTATGGAAGTAACTGCACCATTAGGGTCTATCTCAAGGAGTTTCTCGACTATGCTTGCGTAGGCTCTCTCGTGACGCTTCTCGTCCGCTGCAATGGTACCGCAGATTCGCGCGAGGACGGGATCTCCAGCAGCCTTAGCGAGCCGTGCTGTGTTGCCATGAGATACGAAGGTGGCTCGTTCTTGGAATGATGTGTACACGAAGCCTAGGTATGGGTTGTTCTCTGTTCCTGGATCCTATAACATTTCATATATTATGTTATGAAGTTATATAAATAAACCTAATCAAAACTAACCAAACCTAATCCGGACCAACCATAGGAAAATATTTAGATCCAAAAATGAAAAATAGAAGAAAAAAAATTGGCTAAGAAAATAGAAATTATTAAAATTTTCATATGTAATCATTTCACATAAATATACTATTAAAGGTTGACAAGAATAAATCTATATTATTAAAGAAATATATATTTTATTAATTCTATATAAATATGTATTTTCAATTCGGGTATGATCTAAGTCAAAATCATATTCAACAAAAAGCTAATAAAAAAATTATATCACACCCAATTGAAATAAGCCAAATGGCAAATAGTTTATGGTTTTGTTTCCATCTCTATATGTCTTTTTATTATTATTTAAAAAAAAAAATATATGACTCTAACAAAATTAACAAAAACAATTTTTCCTTTTTAAACTAAACCCAAGAAACACAAAATAGAATTTTGTTTTTTTTTTTTGTCAGTCTCGATTAAAACAAAAACTGGAAGAGAAAATATAAAATAAAGGAACAAAACCAAAATAAAACATACGCATGTTACACCTCTAAGATAAATCATTTAATAAATCAGAGAACTAAAATTTGATTAATCAAACTCTAAATAATATTTTTCATAATATAGATATAGAAAAAGAACTGACCATGCCCGAGCCGATGAGATACTGAACGGTACGTTCGACCATAAGCATATCGACACGACCAGATAAATACAAGTAAGTCCGCAACAAATCACCATGACGGTTCTCCTCAGCCGTCCACGCACGTGTCCACTTAGCCCACGCGCTCTCACTTGCACCAGTCTCGTCTCTAACACCATCAAGTGTGTTGATCATGGTTTGGTAAGTAGGTAATGCATCCTCTGTGATCATATCTCCGACCAAGACCACAAAGTACTCGTCGGGCAATGAGGCCGTTCTCTCCCTTAGCTCACGCACCTATCATTATGTATAAACACATTTGTAACACTTATTGGTTAGTCTTGGTTTAATGTGAATATATGTATTCCGGTTTAAACATTTCTTGATTTAGATGAAGGGATTGTAAATAAATGTTTAACAAGATTCATATGATGTATATAACGTACCTGATCGGTGAAGTCGGAGAAGGGTAAGGCCGGGTCGGGTAAGAAAGAAGCGGGTTGCCAAGACTGATCAACGGGTTTGAGAAGAGGCAAGAGTTGGTCATTGGCCCATCCGTCTAAAGATTTGAAAATCTCTATTTTCTCCGGGGCCATAGAGTGGATTTTGTTCTGATGTTTTAAAGCCGGCCTCACCGGGGTTGCCACGGCCGAGATCTTGGTCGGCCGGTGGGAGCGAGAGGCGAGAAATGTCGCCGGAGATGGAACAAATGTGGCCCATTGGGAGGTGTAGGAGAGGAGAGACGACTTGTGGGTATGCATTTTGGATGGTAAAGGAGACAAGACTTTTAACTTTGGTTGGAGAGAGTAACGACTACTGTTGGACTGTGGACTATATAGTCAAAGAGTGATGAGGTTATAATCGTAATTTTGTAGTTGGCAGGTGTTTTTGTTAGACAAACCGTGGGGTGAAACTGAAACAAGGGGTGCTAACTGGTTTGAGTTTCTATGGGTTTTGTTTAAAAAAAATTTAATTTGTCCTATCTAAGTCTTAACTAAGAGTAACTTTTTTCTTTTTTTTCTATTACTCCATAATTTTTTGTTTAATATTGAATATTATTTTTTAGGTAACACATTTGGATTTATTTATGAAACTTATAAGCTCTTGAGTTGTGATGGATTTAAATTTGTGATCGTGATGTTTTATTGTTGTTGCTACAGATTGAGTCTCATAATTTTTAATGGAATATTTTGAGTTTTAGTATTGTGGTGTGTACATGAAATGCCAGTTTGTACGGATATAAATGAGCCAATGGATCTTATAGATGACAAAATAACAAAGACGATTTAATATTTTGTAAGATTTCTAATATTTTAAATGTTAATAATAATTTATTTATTTCGGTAATGAAATGTAAATATTGGTTTATATCTTTTTTTCATTTTCTCTTCAGAGTTTTTGAATGTCATTTTTCTTAAATTAATGGAAAGAATTTTTTTTTTGTTAACAAGGAGGAGTTCGGGTTTGGATCTTAATCTCCCCCATGCCCGGACCAGTCTTTGCTAATACCTTATGACATGACGTAAAGCAACTTTTCTACCGGGAATCGAACTAGGGAGCACATGGATCCAACTCATGCACTTAAACCACAAGCCCACCACACCGGTGGTAAAGGAAAGAAATTACATCATAAATTTCAGATGTTATGGTTGAAATTGGCAATTTTGGCCCAAAATCTTTTGGACTTGCATCATTTTCTTAATAGGTTTAAAGTTTTGTTATTTTTCGTTAGTATCATTATACATTTGTGAATTTTTATTCCATAAAATACATTTAATAAAAAACTTCCAAAACAAAATGTATAAATTAGTCTTTTAGATCTTTAAAAAGTGACAAATTAAAAAAAAATACAAAATGGCAAAAAGTACAAATGCCAATTAATAACAAAAAAATTCTTAGTTGACTCTGAATTTTAAGGTTTCGCCGGATATATCTTATTTTTAATTCACAAATTAGTTTGTACGCTTGTTCCTAGAAGGCTAGAACCAAAAAAATACATCACCAACTCAAGATTGAATAACTTTTTTTTTTTTTTCTTTTAAATAATCAAAGAACCTCAAGATTGAATAAATTTTATAGCCCAAAAGAATATAGATAAAACAATATTTCGGATGCTTTTTATTTCACCAAACAAATGATACACACAAACGCAATAATTATAAGATAAATAATTATATTGGCAATATTATGAATGAAGGTTCATTTAAGAACGTGAAGCGACAGATGATGAGCCAACTGCACCATGTTTCTTCAAATCTTTCTCATCTTTCTTGATTGCATCTGAGAACTCAACATCATCCTCAACTGATAACACCACAGACTTTTGTCCATTAGGTCCTTCAACTATAGCTTCTTTCATCTTAAAATGCTCATCCATACGAACCGCCTTAGATTTCTCAGAGTGCTTCTTGGATCTTTTCTTGATCAAGAACCAGATAACAAACGCTAGGAACAACAAGAACATGACACAACCCAATGAGACAAACACCACTACTACGACGGTTGTGTCATGGTCCGGAGTTGGTGTGGGGCGGGAGACTGCGTCCGTGGAAGCCATATCGTTCGTGTTTTGATGATTTGTTTCTTGAGGTTTGGTGAGTGTGTGGTTTGAAGAAGATGGAGATTGTGGTGGCTTATTTGTAGGGAAGATATAGAAGACTATGTTGCTGCTAAGTTTCTAATGACTTGGCTCTCATCCTAAGATTTTGTTTGCTTGTTGTTTTTGTTAAGCTAACCTAAAAAAACAAAAACAAAAAACAAAATTGAAGAAAGAGTGAAATCCAAGAAAAATTAGCTCTTATATAACATATCTGATTTTCTTAATTGAATCCAAAAATATGTAAGTAGTTGAAGAGGTGAGAAAATCATAATTCTAACAATTATTGTTTTTATTTTGTTAACATATATATTTTCCAAATACTAAATAAAGTCATGAAAAATAAAGAAAAATACCCTTAGATACCACAATTTAAGTTTTTCTTCCAAAAATACCACTTTTTTTTTTCTTCCAAAAATACCACAAAAATTTAATTCAAGAATACCATAAACATAAAAAACTGAATTTTGAAGATGTAGATTTGTTTTTTATGTTTGGGTTGACTATTTACATTTAGGGTATAGTTTTTAGGGGAAGAGTTTAGTATTTAGGATTTAGAAATTAGTTTTGAATGTTAAAAATTTTAAAAGTTTCAGTTTTGTGGTATTTTTTGGAAAAATTGTATTTGAGTGGTATTTTGGAAAATAAAATGCATAATGATATTTTTGGAAAAATATCCATTTTAGTGATATTTAAGAGAATTCTCCAAAATTAAATTACCAAAAGAGGAAAAATAAATTGTAGGTGGGATATGGGATCATACTCTAAATAAGGTCTTGTCACAACATCAACACTCTTCACTTTGGTTAAGGATACAGCCATATAGTCATATATAGCTACACTCTCCCGTGACCATGTTACAATTACAAGTCTCTGACTGATCATGTTCAAGGCAGAGACACTCTTCCAACACTTACAAAACTTCATGAGAAGTTGTTTCTCAATAGTGCTTATAAGATTTCTAGATATATCTTAGTAATAATCTTTCGCAAATATGTTCAAGACATTCAAGTTCCTTGGATAGTCCAAGCTTCCAACGTTTGATTTTTCAAACCAAGAAAATTGTGACTTGAGAGGTGTATAGTGTTTATCTTCTAAAATGTTTATGACACTACAACATATATATCATAATGTTATTCAATAATTGCTTTCAAAGGAAACAACGAGACTGATTTCTAAAGGAAACAGAAAACAATACTGCAACTACATTTCCCATAAACTTAAAAGCACCATTTTGACCAATGGCAAAAAAAAAAAAAAAGGAGAAGTCTTCTTCTCCTTTTGATTTAATCATGAAGAGCAGGAGGCGATTTGTGTGGTAATCTCCGGCCAAGCACAAAGCTGGTGAACAAATGTAAAGCTCGTGAGGGCTGCGCGTACGGTACCATATGAGCCGCTCCTCTCACCGTTGCGAATGTCAGTAGATTCCCATACTCTATCACCCATCCGCCAACCTACCTCACGTCAATAAGTTTACAATTAGGTGTAGCCAAAATAATTAAATACAAAACCAAACGAACAACAAATTTTAAAACTTGTAACATAATCAAATCATTTTTATAGAAGGATCGGTAGTAATTGTTTAAAACATTACATAAGCGTAGCCAAAACTAAAATCACAACCAAATATAGTACAACCGAACTGAATATACTCAATTAAAAGTGAAAATCAATTAAAATATAGACCAAAAAGATATATTTGAGTATACCTAAAAGAAAAATATATGACTTAGTTCTTTTTTTCGCTACTTTTATACAAATAGTCTCAACCAATGCAAGCAAACAAAAATCTAAATCGAAAGCTAAAGAAATCGAACCACGCGAAAATAAGAAGCCTAATGCTCAAACCAAGGGCATATTATACTTAAGGTTTTCTATGGAACAATACAAACCTGTCCTTTGTGGAACCAAGCTCCATAGGGAACTGTGGTGTTAAAGTTGAGATCACTTGCAAGTTCTTTTACAAGAGTCCTTGAACCCAAAAGTGGAATCACAGAATCTTCATCCCCACTACATTTTATGAAAAAAAGAACTTTGTAAGTCTACCACAAAATTACCTAATCAGAAGATTTAAAAACTTGTCTAAAAGAATGTACCTGAAGACCCAAACAGGGACTTTACTCTTCACGATTCTCTTAAGAATTGGAAGTATATTGGTGCTCCCATCATTGTAATTGTAGTTCACGAGACTATTAAGGATGAAAGGCATAACCATATAGTTAGATATTAAACAATGAGATATATGATTAAAGATGGTTCGAGTTATATACCTGCTACAGATAGACCATTCATATGGAAGTTGAGTTCTATTAGCATGAAGAGCCTTTTGAACTTCAGGTAGTGTTAAATATATTTGCTCTTCATAGCTCATGCACACGTCCACCCCATTACTCATCTTTGTACCCTATAAACCATATTCAACATTGTATATCACTTATTCAAAAGAAAAGAGAAAAGAAAATTTCATTTATTCGTAAAATATATTTGCATAGTGTAAAGATAAACATAGGCATATGTAAATGTAAATGTAACCAAATAGGAGAAGTCTTTTCTTACCATTTTCTTGAGCCTGAGCTCTTGCTCGACGAGGGACGGGTAGCAAATATCGAGGAGGATATCGTAGTAATTGATATATTGAGTGATGATGGTTCCAGCTTCATTCATTGCGGTTTCGCAGGGTTTGCTTATATTGTGTGTCCTTGAGAATGAGTAATCTTCAAAGTCACATTGGTTCTTGATAGTGGCGCCAAGTTCATCAGAGATCATACCATGTGACCAAAAGAACTCAAATATTGCTGGAACATCCCGGTCAAGCTTCAAAAGCGGATTCCCGATCTGAATTAAAACAAAAGAATCAACCAAAAACAGAGCTAGCAAAAGAGAGATTTGAAAGAAAAAATGGTATAATTCTTATTGCTTACTGCAATGCCTTTGAGATTGAACTTGAATCTATTTGACTGTCGTGTGTTGTATTCGAGTATTACATCAGCTAGTTGAGGTACATAGTGTCCTGCATAGCTTTCGCCCGCGAGGAAGAGGTTTCGAGTCTTGAATTGTGGAAATTTCTCTAGCCATCTTAACATGAACATCAGCATATCCTTGGCTATTATTGAAAACATCATTCAAGAATAAGTCTTAACCTTGTTAATGACAAAAGATGATTTAATCATTTTTGAAGATTATATAATTAATACCGGTTTTTTCATCGCCAGTGTTGTAATCAGAAGTTGTGTTGGAATAAGACCATCCTACTCCAGCCGGTGAATCCACAAACAACAGATTTGAGGCTACATCATAGTAATTAAGTTAACAGCACAATCTTTCTCATTGTCAATGAAAAGATACTAGAAGATAGGGAGAGAGAGAGTGCTTAGCCTTTTACCAGAAAAAAAAAGATAGGGAGAGAGAGAGAGACCTTTGTTCCAAGATTTTGGATTTCTTCTGAGGCCAAGACCATTACCAGTAGGGTAAAATGGACCCAACTCTGTGAAAGCTCCTCCTCCAATGGAAGAACAGCCTGGTCCTGCATTTGGACCAAACAATACTTAAGAAACTGAATATAAAGTTTTGAATATTTAAAGACCAGAAAATTGAAATAACCAATCAAAACAAGATCAACTAAAGATAGATAGTAGTCATTTCACATAATTATAAATTTATAATATTGGTTTTCCTCTCAATATTTTCACATCATTTTTTATTTAAACCATACAATATTCAAGTAAATCAAGGAGCTAAAACTAAATTACATATAAAAAGAATTTTTAATTTCTATAAAACCGATATAAAAAAGATACCAAACAATACAGTAAAAATTCTACAAATTAAAAACGTCGAGACTATGATATGTTGTTAATTTATAAAGTTATTAATTTATCGATATATAAATTAAGTTAAAAAAAACTAGTTTAGAACAAAAGAAAATTAACTTATCGAAGTATTAATTTCTTAAACATTTATTTATATTCATATTGTCTAAAAAAATCAATTTTTTTTTTTTTTGAATAATCAAAAAGGTTTTGGGCCGAAGTCCGTACATCCTCTCAGGACCGAGACCAAAGCATGTTATATGGTCTCGTCCCAAGCGTTACTCGAACCGGTGATCTCTAAGCATTTGCCAGAGATCTTTATCAATTTCAGACTACAAAAAGTTACAATTTCAAAGAAAAAGCTAAAAAGTGGAGGAACAATAGACAAAAAAAAAAAAAACCTCCATTGAGCCAAAGGGTTAAAGGCTTAGTGTGTGGTTCCTTCTCAGCTTCAACAAAGTAATAGAAGAGACTCCGACCAGCTTTAACATCGATATCGACATAACCAGCGTACTGTCTGAATGCAACTTCGGGTTGTCCAGGCAACTTAGTCACAAGATCTTCCTCTGGAAAGCCTTCAGCTAAACACTGCAACGCCATTATTAGTGCAACAGCTACTTCTAGGAACCGCCACTTACCGCCCACCATTTTCTCTATCTCGTGTTTTGTTTTGTGTTTTAAACTTCTCTGCTCTTTGTGATTTGTGCCTTGTGCACATGTATATTTATAGACAAAAACACTTCTTCTTCATGAAGTTACGTGCAAAATAAAATATTTGGTTAAGTAATTAAAATTGTCAGTATTTTTTTATTTTTTAATATAACTGGAAATTAAATTTAGATAATGTACTAATATTATGTTTCTTCCACTTTTCATTTGTTTTTCCACCTTTATATGATAAATCTATTAACTTATCATTTGTCACAAATTTGGATATCATCTGCACTGTCTCGAATCCAACACTTTCATAATTTAGTCATTTCACCAAAGGAAGTTCCCGGAATACGAAAATAGAATTGCACAAAATTATGATTTATCTCATATCGTGATATGAAAAGAAGTAGAACAATTGAAAGAGGGGGAATTTCAAAAACTCAGCCGCTGATGAGGACTGGATTTAAATTGATGTAACCCGATTTAATTTAGTTAGTTGATTTAAATTAATTTAGTATGTTTTAACTTGGTTTAAATGGGTTAATCTGGTTATGCATGGATTAAATTAAACGGATTGGATATTTTCAGATATAATCTTTCAATAGTAGTTATTATGTAAAAATATCTTATAAACTTTATAAAACTTTATAATTTTTATATTTATACAAAAGTATATTTGAAAATAAATAAATAAAAGGAATATTTTTGAAAAGAAATATACCGTATACTAAGAGATATTTCTCAAAAATTGTGAAAAGACTACAAATTTCATATTTCTTTTTTAAAAAATCATATTAAACTGTCTCATATTAAGTAAAATCATTTGTAGTAATTTGAGAGAGTTTATTTTTTAATGACATTTCACATGTAAGATTATTTATCGAAAAACAAAAGTTAAAATTCATCTATCTAAATAACGAGAAAGTTAGTCAGTACATATATAGTATTATATATATAGTTTTTAGTCTCATGACCAATATTAGGGTCCAAACTAATATATAAATGGATTAATTTGTTTTTGTCTTTTTTTTTTTAATGGGAGTTTTATGTTAATGGCTGTTCTCGCGGTGGTGCTTTAATTCTACATTTTTCAACTTTTAAATGTTAAATTAACTTCGTATCAATGCCTATATACCTCAAAACATCGATCGAACAAGACTAAGGTCCTGTGTTACTTTGACTTATTGTCTGTATGACCAAATAACCTTTTCCCATGCATTGTTTGTCACTTTTTTATTATTCTGATTTTTGATTAATGTTAGTGTGAATTTAATCTCTAGCCAAACCAAAAAAGAAAAAAAAATACCACAAAATATATTAAGAGAGAAAGTTTAGTGAATAAGAGAGAACACAAGTAAATGTGTAGTGATAACATGGCAAACTGAATGATATAATAATAGAAACAAATGAGTATAAATCTTGTAATAGTTTTTAAAAGAACATAGATGTTTTTTTTTGTATAATATAATTTGAATTTTGAAAATCGGATAAAAATAGTTGAAATTGAAAATAATGTTTGTTTACAACACTTAAACTAAATAGTATAGAACAAAACAAACAGTATAGAATAAAACGGTTTAAACAAAATAATTTTATAGTAGTGGTAATAATAATATGGTGGTAATGGCGGTTATACAACTTGGTGGTGGTTATACAGTGCGGTGGTGGTTACAATTTTATTAATTTTTAATGTTTTTTATTAATTAATCTTACAAATTTACAAAGTTATGTTTAGTTTCTTACAGATTAAGACATGTAGCGTACTAGTTTATAGTTTATACTAATATTTTATTGTGTTATTATCCAATTTTAAGTTTACATTATACATATGCTAATAACTACATATTTTTAAGGATAAAGTTTAATATTTAATTTTAAAATATAATACTATTTCTAGAACTTCAAAACAGTATGTTAAATCTGAAAATTTAACTTATTTATTTTTTGCTATATGTGAGAATTGTCTTTTCTTTTTATGCTTTTAACCCACCAATAACTTAATATTTATACAAGAAAATCTACTTTTTAACTTTTTCCTCCAAAAAGCACTAATAAAAAATAATCGGATTGAATAGTAACATATGTGCGTTATTGCGATGCGGGACGAAAAACTCCCACTTTTATAGTTACTATTCATAGCCTTAGTTTTATACAGAGTGAGTTCGAGATCACTCGCAAAATCCTCTTAAAATAACCGTATGTAGGTTTCTACTGTTTCGTTTCTTTAATTGTTCTTTGAGTTTTGGTTGGCCCCGAGCTTGATATATACATGAACTCATAACCTTTCTTTATAAACTCATATAAAACAGTTCATGCATGTTGGTCATTTGTGTATGAACTCGATCATTTTAAAAGTTTGATATTTTTTTTTTTCATTTTAAAACTCTTTTTTTCCATGAAGTTGTTACCAACCACAAGATATAGCCGTGAGGCACATTTTTATTAGTTAATACATATGTTAATATTTTACTCGTCTAATAATATATATATATATATATATATATAGATTATATAACTAATTTGAATTAGTATTTTACTATTTTTTCTTTCGTATAATATATTAGGTGTTGTGTGCAGTGGATATATTTAAGGTTGTATATGCGATCAGCTCCAAATACATTCTGATTTATAATTTTCTGGTTTATAATTTTTTAAAGCAACTCTAACTATAAAACACCAACTTTTAATCTTAGTTAATTTGGTGTTTATTTAGAAATTTTCTCTAAATTAGTTTTAGAGTTAAATTAATATTTCAGATTATTAAAGGTTATAGGGTAGTTTTAAAATATTGATGGTATACTTTTTTAAATAGACAAAAATAGTTATATTTTTAAATAAAATAAAAAATAAAATGTGTTATACTTTTAAGTGTTCATACTAACACATGAATCTTGAGGTCTAGAACTTTCACGTCCACGTGCCTCCAAAGTATGAACCAATCTGCCAAATTTTTGTTTCCCAAGAGAACCTTTTTAACATCATCATCTCTTAAGTCTTATCACTTGGCAGCAATGCAACTAATTTAGCCAATTGAGTCGGGGCTTTGTCTAAATACGTCACTACACTTTTGTTGGTATAATCTTTTTTCCAAGCAATCTAATATGTAAAACTGATTTATATATATGTACCACCAACGACTTAACCAATAAAAGTAACAAGAGTGTAGCTTTTGCTGAGGTTTATGCAGCACCAACGACTTATCCAATGAAAGTATGGGTAATTCTGATGCATATACATAGATAATTAAAAAATAAAAAACAATATTGTTTATTTTTAATTATTTTTTTCTTTTTACTAATTAATGTTACTACTATCCATTTATATATATACTAGATAAGGTCTGCGTAAAAACGTGGGCTAAAATTTATGTATTCGAAACAAAAATATTGCATTGGTTAAAATTTTGAAAATCATAATTTAACAAAAACAAAATTTAATCAATATTAATTGAATTTCATATTTTCTAATATAGATTAGGATCCGTCTAATAGACGGATTATTTATTTTCAAAATAAAATTTAAATTCAAAGTTTATTGTAAGAATATTATATCCAAAATATTTTGAGTTAGTAAAAAAAATTTTGTTGGACAAATAATTTATGTATCATACATATTTAAAAATCGCTATTAAACATTCATTATAAAAACCATGTAATGTTAAATTATCGTTCATAAAAAAAATTGTGGAGAATTTTTGAGAAATTCTCTTTTTGACGACATCCGGGGTTAAAGATAATTAGCGAGCGGCATATTTTGAACAGCAGCAACGTTTGTACAATTGAATTTCATCTTCTAGTAGACAACAAACTCAAGCGACTAGCACCCCAACTCAAGAGACAACAACGCGAGACATTGTTCATGACTCCAACACCACCAATTCCTGATCCGACCTGTATGTCCATGAGAAAGCAATACTCTAAATTATTTTAACTATGGCGAGATCGGCCATTGCTACACCGCTTACCCCAGTTCAACTTGTCGAAGACTTCCTGTAGATGACATAGGCGTTGTCGACCATGTTTACGATTTAGAAGAGGAAGGACTACCACACGATGCGAAAATGCTGCATCCAAAACATGGGGATGACGGTCTGCTATTGCTTGTAAACCATGTATGTTTAACATCTGCTGCGAAACCAGACATTTGGCTCTAATTGATGTGTTCCACCTATTGTTGGGACATCCTTGGGAGTACGACCGAATAATCACACATGATTAGGCTAAAAGATCTTATTAATTTATTTGAGAGATGCATCAAATTCTTCTTTTGCCATCACGAGACGCCACCATCGATGAGCCACCACCAACACGACCTGTTTCCTAACAAGAATCTCCAGTGTGGATGCTTTTACTTTGCTTTGCCCTTACACCATGTTTGAATAATCATTTCGAATGGAGGGACTTGCTTTTGCTATTTTATCAGCTAATTACGACATTTGGACGCCACCTACAACCTAATTTAAGTTCAATGAGCTCCTCTAAGAATTTAGTGACATTTTCCAGCTAATCTTCCCCCTAGGTTGCCACAACTAAGTGATATTCAACATCAGATCGATCTAATTCTAGGAGTTACACTGCGTAATCTCTCACACTTTTCCATGAGTCCTCATGAGCATGAAAAATAACATTGACAAGTATAAGACTTGTTAAACATGGAGAATATCCGAGATAGTATTAACCCGTGTGGAGCCCTAGCTTTGTTAATTCCAAAGAAAGACAATATGTGGCAGATTGGTGTGGACACTCGCGCTATTGATAAGGTTACAACACAATATCACTTCCTAGTTCCATGGCTAGATGATTTGTTGGAGCAGATCTCAAGAGCAGCTATCATCATATTCTAATTCGTGTTGAAGATGCGTGGAAGACCACGTTAAAGAGGAGGGAAGGCCTTATTGAATGGATGGTCATGCCATTCGGACTTCCAATGCCCCTAGTACATTCATG